CCACCCCTGCAGCGTGGCACCTTGTCCTGGGCCTCCCTTCGCAAGGGGGCCGCGACGAGAGACAAGCTGACTGCGGAGACTCTCTTTTCAAATAGGATGCCCGTGTGATTGTGCTTGGCCGGGCCATCACCCTCTCCTGTGGACTGGGCCTGGGCCAGGGGCTCTCAGCAGGTGCCTGGGAGGCAGACACTTCACACTTGCTCTGTGTGTCCCATGTGCCAACACTGTGCCCGGCAGTTTAAGCCTCTGTATTTAAGATTAAGTATTCAGAGTTTGTAAGGGAGACGCTAAGAGACCCACCCATCCACCCAGGTCACATAGCGACCACTGGCAGAGCCAGGAGCAGCCAGGCTCGCTGACATCAAGGTCCGAGTTCTACCCACTGCACTTGGCAGTGAGGATTTGGTCACTTGGTCAGAACAAAATGACCGCAACCACCTCTCTTTTCCTCCCCACCAGCTTCAGCCACTCGGAATGAAGTCAAACACCCTGAACCTGGCAGCAGTGATCCCCGTTTCTTGCCCCACCAAGGTAATCCAGAAGCACCTGCTGTTGTCCCTCTCCAGAACCCAGAACGTGGCTCCCCCTCTTCCCTGCACCTACCACCAGGGCTCCACACTGCCCACCTTCCCCACGCGCCTGGCACCCAGTGTCAGCCATGGAGCCGTGGGAGAGGGTTCCAGGGAGGCAGGAGGGCACAGGGAGAAGTGGCTGGGAGGGGCTAAGTGAGAGAGGTGGGTTTTTGAAAAAGGGCATGGGCAAGGCAGAAGCACAGCAAGAAGGCTCATGTTCACAGCCGCTGTTGGGCAGACGGGAACAGTCTGACTGCAGGCTGGGGGGATGATGAGCAGCCAGCCGGGCTCAGAAGTGGTGGACAGAAACCTCAGAGCAGGCTCAGGGATAACTTTCAGGTATTCTCTGTTTTGAGCCAAGATCCATCTGGTACCAGCAATGATATCCATGGTTCAAAGTCCTCTTCTGAGTCCAGTCTGAACCGCTGGCAGCAGCCTGTCTATATACTGCTTCAACTGTTGTTGGAGTAAACTTCAATAAAATTTTACGTACATGTGATATCAATAATACTGTTCTGTAATTTAAGCATCTTGCTAGACAGCTTTTCTTTGAAATGGGTACAAATCCAAATCTTTTCCATTCAGTTGGCCAACAGCTGTCTTCCAAATTTCTTGGCCTAGACAAGTGAGTGTTTCTAATGCTTCGTGAGCTTGTTGAAGCATCTCAGTTGGTCTTCCATCAATTCCTGGAGCCTTGTTTTCAGCTAATGCTTTCAGTGCAGCTTGAACTACTTCTTTCAGCATCACTGGTTCTTGCTCATATGGTGCCTTCTGATACGGTGGACTGTCGACTAGTTCTTTTGGGTACAGTGACTCTGTGTACTCTTTCCATCTTTTTTTGATGCTTCCTGCATCAGTCAATGTTTTGTCCATAGAATCCTTCAATATTGCATCTTGAGGCTTGAATTGTTTCCTGAGTTCTTTCAGTCTAAGATTTTCTGAGTGTGTTTTTTCTTTGGGGTTTTCTAACTCTACGTCTGTGCACATTTTATTATAATATTTGACTTTGTCTTCTTGAGCTGCCCTGTGAAAATTTCTGTTCGGCTCTTATACTTCATTATTTCTCCCATTTGCTTTTGGTGCTCTATGATTAAAAACAAGTTTCAGAGTCTCTTCTGATATCCACCTAGATCTTTGCTTTCTTTCCTGTCTTTTTAATGACCTTTTGCTTTCTTCATGCATAATGTTCTTGATGTCATTCCTCAGCTCACCAGGACTACAACTGCATTAGTACACTTACTAAATGCAATGTCTGATAGCAAGGCTATTCACGTCTGGTTAATGGTCAGAGGGGATGGAGTCACTTGAAGCTTACTTTACAAGAATACCCAGCAAGTGAATTTTGGGTTTCCACTGTCATCCATAGCCATCTGCAAACGTGGTGCTCAGAATTTAAGCTCTCATACAGTGTCCTCGTCTGGATGTGGATTTCATTATTTACAATCCTTGGATTACACAAGCTGATGTGCTGCTTCCCTGTGGATTTAGCTGACTTCTCAATTAGATGGCTGCTCATTTTAAGAGAAGTCTTTAAGACCTCAGACGGGATTCTTTCTGATAGCTGGGGACCCTTTGATTTCTTCACCCTACTTCACTATAGCACCCATATTTTCAGTGATCTCTTCATAAGGGCGAGTATTGAGTAGGGCCATAAGAACTAATTGTTCTTAGATGAGGGCTACAATATATGCCTCTGGTTTACTTTAGAGACATCCTTATCATTTTACAGGGGAACAGTATAAGTCATCCCTATGAGGCAGATTGTAATTCCACTGATAGCCTCATTAATTTAGCCGATAATACAGATTTTAAAACACTGTTCAAAACAGTTCAGTATACAGTTTTAGACTTAAATGCATGGATTGTTGACATGTACAGATTTAAAAATGAAGTGACTGGGCACTATTTACACAATGAGAGTTGGAGATAGGGCAAAACTTTCCATAATGCTCATTCATAAAGGTAGAACTATGGCTGCTGGGCTAAGATGTCGTAAAAAAGCAAAGAGAATATGAGACTAATAAATAGAGGGTAGGCTTGAGTTACCACAGTTCTTGTCTCTTTTAGGGGCCCTCTCTTTCCTTCTCCCTGTCCTCTTAACCTGAGACGTTTCATGTCTTAGCCATCGTGTCTCCTCTCTCTGCACATGCCCTCATTCAGAGATGAATCCCTTGCCAGTGTCCTGCTCAGCTGTGTTGTATAGGACGCCTCAATCTCCACCTCTATTTCTTTCCTCCCAAACACTAGACCAGAGGCACTGACTAAATGGATGGTCAGAGAGTGTCAACAAAGCAGAAGAACCAGAGACAGAGCGAGACACAGATGAGAGAGAGCAAGAGATCATTTCATATAATTTCATCTCATGTCCCCC